TACTGTGCAAGCTGCACTGGCTTCCAGTTTCCTTCCAGGTGCAATTCAAGGTGCTGGCTATCAACTTTAGAGCCCTACATGGCACAGGACCTGGTTATTTGTGGGACCGCCTCTCTCTGAGAATATTTGCCAGTCCCACCAGATCGGATAGGGTAGGCACCCGCCAGACCCCTTCCCTGAAATCCTGCCACTTAGTGGTGCCTCGGAAGCATGCCTTTCCATGGCTGCCCCTACGTGATGGAACACCCTCCCCCCGGCCATCTGGGAGACGCCCACCCTTTTCGCCTTTCAGAAGGCCATCAAGACGTGGCTTTTACCCAGGCACTGGGATGGCACAGAATAGAATCGAGAGAATGGAATTAGGGTAATTGGAACTTGCTGTGGGGCATCCTAAGGGAGTGATTAAGGTGCCAGGTTTTTGTTTGATCATTTTATTGTTTTATGGGTTTTTGGTTATGTTTTATAGTTACTGGGTTTTATTGCTACTGTGAGCCGCCCAGAGTTGTTTAAGATGGGCAGCCATTCAGATCTTTTGAATGAGTAAATAAAATCCCTTTCTGAATGGAAGCTAGATCTGCAAGAGTGAGTCCACTGCTTACATATAAACCAACTTAAGTTCTCCATAGCTTTTCTCTTGGAAAACCTCCCCCAAAACCTTACACTGTGATTTCTCAATCTGGATACCAAGCACTTGAACAAAGATACTCATCTGTTAAAGAAACAAGCATGGCAGGAAAGCAGTAGAGTATTTTGGCAAAGGACCAAGAGATTGAGGTGCATAGAAACCAATGGACTCAGATCAGGTTGATACCGCTCAACTGGTATGCTGAAATAATTACTTCTACAAGAGTTCCTAGACTGAACTTTTGGTTGGTTGAGTCCCTCTGGTTTGTTCATGTTCGCCACAAAGAAATACAAAAAATCTTTGAAGTCATCTGGGTGAGGAGAAACAAGCTGCCAAGATGTCTGCTTGGAACAGCTACAACCAGGCCTGAAGCTTGCTAGTGCCCCGGTGTCATCCTGCATTTCCCAAGCTTGGGGATGAAGTCAGTTGCTTTGTAACAGGAGAAGTAATTCATGCACAGGAACAATTAATATAGGCGGCCCTTACAATTATTTTTTTAAATGCAAGATGCTTTTAGAGTTTATCTGTTGCTCATTTTCTCAAGAATCCTGATTATTTTGTTTTGCCCAAAAAGGTTCTATGCCTTTTGCGCAACAGGCAGAAAGTGAGGATGGAGAATGTTTCCAAGAACAGAGAAGCAGTGCTGGAAAGAAGCAACACAGAACCTACTAAATGTTTGCTGGTTATGTTGTTATTACAGGTA